CGGCGCTCGTGGCGGACGAGCCCGAGCCGCAACAGCGCTCTGCAAAGGTGGAGCTGTACGAGTCCATCTTCTTGGCCACCATGCAAGAATAGAGATCTCGCGCGAGGGGGTGCCGCCGCTGCTACTGCCCATGCCATGCCCGCGCCACAACAAAATGCGTTTCGTGTGTTTGCGGTTTGTACAGTCTCGGTTGCGGGCATTAAGACAGGGTTGCACAATACACAATACGTATTAATACAACTATCAATACACAATATAATACACTATGCAGCGGATGTCAGACTCCGTATTATTCTGTTACGCCGCCGGCGCCGCCGCCGCCGCCGCCGCCGCCGCCGCCGCCGCCGCCGTCGCTGCCACCGTCGCCGTCGCCGTCGCTGCGGCCGTCGCCGCCTCCGCCGCTCTCGCCGCCGCCTCCGTCGCCGACCTGGCGGAGACCGCCCGCGCCGCCTCGGCCGCCGCCGGCTCCGCCGCGTTTGTTGTGGCGGCGGCGCTTGCCCCCCCTCCGCCCTCCCCCCCCCCGCCGGCGCCCTCAGCAGGCCCGCGGTCAGCCGCTGCAGCCTCCTCGGCCGTCTTGTCGGCGCCGTCGTCGTGGCAAAGGTCGCAGGCGGGCGAGGCGTCGGCGCTAGCCGGGCAGCATGCGCAGCCCCCGCCGAATGCCTTGAGAGGCGAGCCGGCGCCGGAGAGCGTCGGCCGGACGCCGGGTGGGAGGCCGGCTGGCGCACCGCCACAGCCCTCGTCGAGCTCCATCGCCTCCGATGCTGCACCCTCCGGGTCCGCCAGCGCCGCATACCGCCCAGAGGCCGCGTGCGGGGGGGGCGGGGGGGCGCCGGGCTCGGTCGACCCGGTCGACCCGACCGACTCGCCCGCCTCGCTCGCTCCGCCGGCCCCGCCTGCCTCGACCACCCAGAATACAATACGTATTAATACAACAATACAATACATTACGTATAATACACTAATACAGCTCAGTCTCGCTCGTATTGTGCAACCCTGCATTAAGAAACCTTACCATAAAGAAACCCTACCAAGCGATTTCCGCAAAAATCTAAGAAACCACGGCGCGCCGCAGGCGCGGCCCCAAGAAAGGGCCCACACACGAGTGTGAACAGGAGCCCCGCTCAAAATTTTCTCTTGACTGTTCGCCTGCGGCGCGCGCACTTGTCATTTTGCCCAAGTCTGCGGTGTTCTGGGCGGTGTGGATGGAGGTGTGTGCGTCTTCCTGTCATCCCAAGACTGCTTTTAAGAAATCGCAGGAAAAAGAACCCGAAGTCCGGGGAAAAAGAGAAACGCGCGGTCCCGCATTTCAGAGCTGGCAGCACCCCGCCTAGAGCAGCACCCCAGCACCGGTCCTGGGGCAGTGGGCTCGCCGCTCGAGGCGCTGCCAACGCCCGTCGAGTCCAATGCGCCTTCCTACGTGGAGAGCGGCTGCTCTTCTCGCCGCCGGATCGGCGGCGGCAGCGGTGGCTGTGCGCGCCCTATTTTTCCGCTGGATTCGCAGCCGACCAGGTGCCGCACGCGGCAGAGCGCCTTTTGGCCGTCGGGATAGCAGTGCCTGGGCCAGCATACGGTGTGTCGTCGCTGAGCCTGCCCGAAGTCGGTCTTCCGCAACCGACGCTGCCGCCCCGCCGCCGGCTCCGTCGCCAAGGACAGTCCAGGCCGTGCAGGCGAGTTGGGCCCAAGCTGAGGCTCTTGGTCTGGCGACTGTCGGCGCGCTCTTCTTCGACGCGCTCTTCGCGACGTCGGCCTCCGCCGAGCAGCTCTTTGCGACGCAAAAGTTCGCCGACGGCCCGGCTGGCCGAGCGCGCTTCAAGCTTCACACGCTCAACGTGATGCAGGCGCCCCGCCACCACTACCGCCACCGCCCCCGCCACCGCCGCCGCCATCGCCGCCATCTCACCGTCGCTCCCCCGCTGCCCCGTAGACGCTGAGCGCGGCGGTGTACGGCCTGAGCGACCTCGGCTCGCTGGCGCGCACAGCACATCCGCATTGGCCGCATCTCACCGCCGCCCTCGCCGGCGCCGCCCCCGTCTGTGTTATTTTGTATTCTATAAGTGTTGTGTTCATGCATTGTCAATGCCGTTCACTCCCTGGGCACTATTTCTCTACTAATACCCTCTCTTTCATATTTCGACCTTTCTTCCCCTATTTCTCGGTGGATCTTCTTTAGTTCTTGTTCTTCACTCATATTTACTCTACTTGAAAGTCCGTTTGCTACTCCATGTCGTATGTCTACTTCATCGTCTT